TCAACAAACCCACAAAATTGGAATACGTGACATGTATAAATAAAAAACAACTTAGCTACTTCTATTAAATATACGTTTCTAACACAGTATCCATTTCATTTCAATTCCTTCGCAATAAAGCCATTGTAATGGCTTGCTCGAGAAAAATCAAATTTTCCTGAATTTACTCTTATCTTGATTAAATAATGAAATGAAAAACACTTCAAGAACGTATTAAATTAAAGTTAAGTTACCTTGCAAATAATTCGTTGAGAAGTCTAACCAATTCTTCAGCTGTGCATTGGTCCGATAGTGTTGTAAATCCACAAATATCGGCGAAAAGTATGCTATAACAAACAAAAATCGTTAAAAATATGAATAAAATATCACATTAACTTGTTATATCAATGTTAAATATATGAAATCCTATGACATTGTTACTTACTTAAAAAATCGGAAAAATGATTTCAAATTAATATTTCATATTAATCCACTATTAAGTAACTAACAATGTCATAGGATTTCATATTGTATGAGGTTTTAAAATTTATAAACATAATCAGTGCATTTTATTAAAGATGACTACATGTTAATATACACGCAGGATAATTGCATTATTAAGGGGAACTGCTGCTTTTTTGATAAAGCTTTGTTTTATTGTGGTTTAATATTCCTTTTATTTGAATAACTAAATACCTTAAGCAATATGTAGAAGGTAAATGTTCTCTTCAGTAAGCATATAGAAGCAATTCTTTCGGCCGAATTTACATACTCAATTTTCGGTAGATTTCAACGTAGCGGCCGAATTTACATTTTGACCCTAATGAATTCTTTTACCCGTCGTAATGACCGGCCGAATTTACCTCTGCCTATAACCCGCATGATAGTAATAAAATATGTAGTATTACTAATTAATTTTCCGAGGATTGTAGTAATTTGTGCAGAATTTTGTTCATTTATTGTAAATAGGCTGTTTATATTAATCGAACACGAGAGGAACTTAATATCAGAATTATTCTAAGGTAATTGTAATAAGGGACAAAAATAAAATAATTCGAAGTGGTCTGTATTTTGTCGAAACTGCCAGACGCGGATCGCGATTTCGATCTTTTTGGATCTCATCAGCGCGTCGCATACAGCTCCGACAGAACACAGACCAACTTTTACCTGCTGTCTTAACAGCGCGTTTTAGAAAATACTACAAATGGCGCAATAAACGCCATCTGTAGCGCGATGCGTTTACTGCGCCATTTGTAGTATTTTCGACAAAAATAAACGTTATTATTAACATCATTCAACCCCTACTTTTATACTGTAAACATAAGTCAATTTGTATTCAGTTTTCAGTTATATTGTTCTACTACTTGAAGAAGCCGCTATTTGGCGAGACAGTTAAAGTTAAATAGTTAACAATAAAAAAATTCGAATGCCTCTCCGATTCGATTATTTATGTGAGTATTGTTTTTCGTTAGAGGTAACTATCTACACGGTAAAATAATCTTTGGGAAATGTAAAAAGGACTGTTGGAATATAAAGTTAAACATTATTCATAAAAAGCGTTAATCATTATCATTGTATTCGTGTATTTCTATTATTTACTTGGCACATAGCCTGCAAAAGTAAAAATAGAACAGAGTCTAAGTGTTTGTTACGTGGCTGAAATGTCAACTGAAAAATCTGCACGAAAACATCGGTTCCTATGGAACATTTCCATTATTACGTTTTAAAAGGTTTCAAATACACTACCTATAAAGTCTGACATTATCTGTCGAATAATTAACATATCTATCTTAAAAAATTATGTGCTAAAGTATTTTATGTAGATACAGAAATAAAACAATGCAAACAATAATATTTCACTTCGGAAAAGGTTATGAAAAATTTTATACATTGCTTATCTACTTTAGGAGAATTACAATCATTTCAGGTCATATATTACTAATAGAAATTTTCCAATATGCATTTAACTTAAAAAAAGTAATATTAAACCATCAAATACTTTGTAACTGTTGCTAAAATTTTTGTTTGACGACTTGTTTTCTTTGAACCATAATTTAGGTAAGTTTCAAAATAATAGCTTCAGTTGTCGTAAATGTTTTCATGAAGAGAAATATTAATAAATAAAAATACAAAACAAGAATGTTTCAACTTGCACTTAATATATATACATACGTTTTTTTCAACTAAAACAAGGTTATCTTCACATACGTTAAAAAACACAAACAACAAATTTCTACCTACTCTCATTCATGTAGGTATAAACAACAAAAAAAGTTAAAAAAAAAAACAATTCTTCTTAATAAATCTTATTCACATTCTTATATTTTTGACAAAAAGAGTGTACAAATAATAAACATTCTTTAACTTAATTTTAAACAAAAACAAAAGTTTAAAACTTTTCCTTTCTGCTTTTTGTTATTAAACCCCCCACCCTACCATTCATTTTTGTTATATCCTTTCACCATCTTTTCTTTCCCTTCTTTTTTTAAAGATTATTTTAAAAATACCGATTCCATCTCCCTTTAAAGTTATCATTTCACTTCACTTGTTCAATGTTTTATTCTCCATACCTTCTTCCAATACATGCCTCAAGTTTTCTATTTCAATTCTACAAATTCTACATTTTCTCTCCTCCACTTTCAACCAGTATTTATTTTCGTTACATTCATTCCCCATTCTAAATTTTGCTATTATCTATATATCTTTATTATTAATTCAGGTACTTATTATGTCATTTTGCCAGTCTTACCACATCCATTATCTCATCTCTTCTGCTTAATATATATGTGGAAATATATACACATGGTGTTCCACCTAAGACAGTTTTGTCCATAAGTCTGTTATTATACACTTAATAGAAAATGTTTTCATAAATGGTCTGGAATCATACAGTGCATATACACAAAATATTTTCAGTCCTACAGGAGTCCTCTATTTCACCTGGACGCTAATAGAACAACCTGTATATTGTTAAATTTTTGGTTTTCTTATTTAATTTTAAGTCGACTTTGTTAAAATAGTTGCTAATACCTATCTCTCGGAGCTTTTGTTTTGAGATATTCAATTGTTTTTGAAAAAAATACAATTTAAATGAGACCAAATAGCATCTAAAGTCTAAACCATAAAAGTTCAAAGCCAGTGGTTTGGACAGTTCATTTTAGCACAAATAAGCGAATATTTTTTGCTATGAGTAAAATGTGTAGGTACGTTATAGACAGAGCCGGAAATATCGAAACCCTCTTTCGACAATCTTACAATTGAAATAAATTTTTTTTCAATTGGAATGACCTATATTAAACGATACCGTTCGATACGAAATTAAAACCTCTTTCTAGTAATATAAGGTTTTAAATATTTATCACCAAGAGTTTCCAGAGAATAATCAATATTATTGGTGGAATTTAGACTTGATGGAAGTATTGCTAATCGACTATTTTAATATGAACGCAAAACACCAAGTATTCATAAGATAAGCGCATGTACTGTACTTCCATCTGCTGTAGATACTCGATTTTTTTAATGAGCTTAACATAGCTAGGTACCCAGTTATAATACAGTCAAACGTGGGTTAGCGATAATTCAAGGGACCCGAATATTATTCTCACTTGTAGAGTTTTCTCATTTATCGGGGTTAATAAAAATCGAACATAAACATGGTGCTAGAGTATTAAGAAATAGGTAATACATAAGTATATATACATTTTACTATAAATAGGTACTTATTTTATTTATTTAAAGAAATCAGTTAATTTTTTCTGACTATCCTTTTTACAATTTTGAGTATGTTTTTCAATTTCATAAATTATATAAAAAATGAAATCACTTTAATTTTTCGCTTCAACATTGTGCGGGAACAACGTCAAACGTACTTTCTCCAATGATTGTTATCAACTGCAACCAAATGTTGGGGATGAGTACCATGAGCAGGTAGGAACAAGCCCACAGGTGTTCTGCAGATGTGTAGTAATTGTAAATAGTGTCGCTTACAGAGGTCCAGAGTAAGAAACTGTCACTTACAGAGGTCTAGAGTAAGAAACTGTCACTTACAGAGGTCTCGAAGTGAAAAATGACTCTCTCTAAAAGAGATACTTACACTGTCACTCATAGAGGTTTTCGGGGCTAAAAATGACGGGACCAAACTATTTTTATCGCTTATAGAGTTTTCTCACTTATCCAGTTTTCGCTTATCCAGGTTCAACTGTAGTTGTTTTCTATGAATTTTTACGAAATATGAAAAGTAAGATCACACAATTTTTGAGGTTAGGGTGTATATTCGCAAGTGTATACCTCTGTGTAGACATACCTACACATAACTGACCTTCTAAATGAATGCACCGTGTTTTCATACTAAAGTTTAATTTAATCTTCAAAGTCAATGGCACATATTACACCTACTTGGCTCGATATTTGAAGGATGATCGTTTTTTATTACGTCTTGCCGTTAAAATGATTGCCAAGTTTACGCACAGACCGATGTGCATGGCACAATAACACAAAAATTTTAGTTACATGATCAACGGTAAGTGACTTCATACATATCTAGCATATCTCTATAACTTAACCATTTTGACGTATTTAAGACAACGTTTAGCGGATTTTACATAACATAATTGGTTACATATAGGCACGTTTGTAATACGGTTTAGTGGAAATGGGTTTGTATTTAATTATTTGATTGTAAGACAATATCAACAAAGTGAAACAATTTCGATTCGATTCCCGGTGGGGGTGTGACAACAGCAACAATTTTTCCCTCATTAATTTGAGGTAGTTTGTAGTGGGTGAATAAAAAATCGAAAAAATGATTTCAAATTAATATTGCAAAGTGAAACAAGTTTTTATACGTAATCGAACGTAATTGTATATAATATTCAATAACTTGCTAAAAGTAGGTTACGAACAAGAATAACAATTCATTGTAGGGACTAATTGCTTGAAAATTTACTTTTACTACTTACTCTCCGACTCAGCATAACGCTCCCATTCAAGATGGAGGAATATTGTCAAAGTGAAATGCCATTACTGTACTGAACACTACAGGCACATAAGACATAATTCACCAAAGGATACTCTACTGATTTACCTTCAATCTTAATTCGATTTGAGTAGCACTTCACACACTTAAAAGAACAACGTTCACTTCTGTAAACTGTCCAGTTAGAAAATAGTCGATCTATGCAACTCACCACCCTGTATATTTTTATTAACTTTATTTAGACTCAATTTGAGACGTTAAACCGTACATATCAAATTTCTCAATGGTAGGTGCTACCGGCTGCGCGAGAGAAACGAAAGCCCGATCGGGAAAATATAAATACGACGCAATGCTTTTGATTGTTTTTCGCGGCGTGCAAGTTCGCGGCACGGAGTTTCGAATGGCAACTGCTATCTTTTAAACAGCGTCCCGACGCCGTAGACGACCACAGCGACGACGACACGAAGACGATGCTCACTGTGATTCGGCCGCCCACCTGCTTTTCATCTTTACACAGTTCACAACACCAATTCGGCATTTTGCTGTACTTTTGAAATATACCTAATACATAAATACTAAATAAGAAAAACATTTTCATTGTATTTTCTTGAAATGAACGATTATGTCCAGATGTTTCGACAACAACTGAAATCTTCAGTGAATACCTACTACGAACATGTAGTCGAACATTCCAAGTTTTCTTACAAATTGGTGAACTGCTTGACTTTATAATTAACCAATTAGTAAATATAATAAGTGCATTTTTCTTTATATATCTCCGTTGCTGTTAACCTTTTAATGTAACATATGCATTAGGAATGTTTTTCGTTACGGAATTCACTAAAAAATTAGCACCAGTACACAATAAAGGGGCTTAATCTAGTAACTTTAGATTTAAAAAGGACTTCTTTATTACAGTTTGGGGCCTAAACCAACCAACGTAGTTATACTGTTTCAGTCCTAAGACTAATTGGACATGCACCTCCACTCTTTCCTATCATGAGCTAATTTTCGAATTTCCCTAAAACTGGAACAATCCACATCCGTAACTATTTGCGAACAGTAATCTAATCTAGGTCTACCTCTACCCCTCCTACCTCCCGTTTCTGCCTCTAATATGTCTCTGACTAGACCTTCATGCCTGAGAAAGTGCCCTAATAATCTATCTCGCCTATTTCTTATTAACTTCCATAGAGTCCTCTGTTATCCTTTTCTTTCTAAGACCTCTTCATTTCTAACCTTCTCTATCTTCTTCCTATGGTGTTTATTTATTTTGTATTGTTCATTACACTTCCGCATCCGCTTCCGCAAAAATTTACTATTTAATTCTGTTTCCGTTGCTGTTTCATTACTAGTATACGCCTTGCACGAAAACTTTGGAGCAAATTTCTGGCTAAACTATTCGTTGTACGTAAAAAATTAAAGAGATAATTTTTTTGGGGAATTCCATTATCTTTCATTTTTATAATGACCTCAATTAACCTTCGATCCATAAAAAGAGCAATATTCGCAAAAAAACGTTTTTTATGAATTTTTACAGAATTACAGTTTTAATATTTTTTTCTAAACATTAAAATAAATAAATTAAAAAACAATTGGTTACTAACTTTTAGAACATGAAAACCTAATTTTACTAGACTAGTTTACTTTGTATAAATATATCCAAATGTGAATGCATAAAATATGTTTCCAAAAAATGTTAAAATTCAGCTCCCATGAGCAATATTTTTCCGTTACTCTAAAACTTTTTCTGGCCTTTGAAAAGTATAAAAACGGATTATTTTTAGAATATCATGTCGTTCTTTTAAAATGGCCAATAAAAAGCAGAACAAAGTGAACGTTTTGTCGTAAAATGTGCAGATATACCATTTGTATTTCTCAAGCTACCCATAATAATGCAAGTTCGAATTAAATATGAAGTTGTGTCATAAAGAAGAAACTGGCGTAATAAAACCAGCTACAAACTGTCAAAAGAAATCGAATTGGTGACATGAATACTCGTTTCCCTTTTGTGTTCTGCTGTAGTAAACACTGTAGATATGTATAATACAAATTTATTTAAATAAAAATAAATACAGAGATGATGTATACAAAATAAACTAACAAGAAAGCAATTAAACGTCAAAGAAATTCGTGTTTATAGGTGGAATTGTTTAGAATTTGACATAGATAGGTAAGCGCTAAAACTGGTTGCAAGGTTTAATTTCGATAGTAAAAGCTCAATGTTTGTCTTTGATAGCACCACGGACAAAACAGGTCCAGAAGTGTCGTAACTTTGCCCGCGACGGTAGATAATATATACCTAGCACCTAACACGTTGGAAGAAGCATTTGGCTCCGTGCCAATCACAGTGCATTTCAGAAATGATGATTAATTTGTTTTCAGGCCATTTTGCGAATTTATTATTGTATGACTGAACTACATTTTACGTTGCAGCTGCACGAAAATTCCGATATTAGAAGATCAAAATGATTGGAATTAGGCATTCTCTATTCTATATATTGTCTTCTGCTTTTTATTTATGTTAAGCGTCCCTAAAGTAAATAAAAAAAAACCTGACAAGTCATACCTAACACAGTTTCGAATGCATCGAAAGGCGTCTCTTCAACTATCAATCCACAAATATTGACAAAATAATCTGAAAGGGTACAGCTGGGTTTGTGTAGGAAATCTGCCCCCCCTCCCCGGCTTTTTCGATTTGCACTTGTGGGATCGATTTGACATTAAATAAAAATAATTCAGCTAAATTTATAGCTGTTTATCTCAAACGATTTTCGAGATTTTCAAAAAACCTTTTTTTTCTAATTTTATTATTTTTATTTGTCTATAAGTAGTAAAATTCAAAATTAATGAATGGTCATTTTTTTTTCAATTCTCAGGAATGCAAGGGATAGAAAAACAGTTTCATTATGGACTTCAAAAGCCGACTGTAAGCACTCTTTTTACGGTGTTATTTAAATGTGTCCACTGCCAAACTTTGACAGAAAATGTCTTCTATACTCCTTTACACTCAGGAATTGCTTTTTTTTTTGAAGTGGTGGAACATTATGAAAAAATATAAAACCTAATTTTTTTTTCAAAATCTTGCGTAATGCATTTCTTATAATAATTTTTTAAATATTTTTGTAAGGTGAATGATTATCTTCTAAACATATATTTCTCTAACAGTATAAGAATTTTAATGCGTTCAAACACAAGATTTAAAAAAAAAGTAGTTTTTCTTTTTTTCATAATGTTCTCATTTCGAAAAGAAAAAGAAAAAGTTCCTTGAAGTAAAGGAGTATAAAAAGCATTTTCTGACAAAGTTTGACGGTGGACACCGTTTAGAACAGTAGTAGTCTGTGTTAGAAGTTTGGGTAGAAAATTTTTTATTAATTTTGACAGTAGGTCATCTTAGAGGTATTTTCTTTTTTTTTATAGATTCTCTATTTTTTCCTAAGATTCCCTAGCAAATTATGCTTCTTCTTCCCGAGGTTTTCCACATTATCATTATTACAAGGTCGTCAGCTGGAAGAATAAATGTTTGCTTTCGAGAAAGGCACTGAAATTTAAAAAGAGTTGTTCTGAAAATGTCTACAGTAAACGTTCAGCTCGCTTTGTATTTTCCAAGACCTAAAAGTACAAAATCGTTATACGAAAAAGTACGAAAAAACCATGATGATGATGTCTTTCAGGCAGTGGTGTAACTAGCGTTACTGGTATCCAGCGTAGAAACTAAAAGTACCACCCCATTTGCAGCCAAAAAGTAGTAAAGTGATAGAAATTAAACCCACTCCAACTCGTGTTGGACATGAACCCTGCCGCCCGGAGTGGATCGCCTCCACCACCACCTGCCTCCTTTATTTATGCCACCTATCCCAGGTAGTCGAACGAGCGGTTAGGAATGGGTGACTCATACCCACGTGAGCACTTTTCTTTCCGTTCGCAGTGTTCGACAATAGACTTCCACAACATCGGGGATTCACCGCCTCGGCGCCCGCTCTACCAATATTCTGAGACACATTATCGATGGCTTTTTAGATACTTTTTGAAGGGTTTTATGACATCTGTTTGTACTTTTGCTTATAATAAGTTTGTGAAGCAACATTTGCTGTAGATTCTTTTGCTAATTAGTGGCTATTTTACCAAAACACCTGCTTTTCAGTGATCTCCAAAACTTTTTTTTTAATAAAAGCCATACCTACCACTGCACAGGTTTATATCACAAAAAGTCACAATTTTGAACCCAAATATACAGGCCTGAGGCTCGAAGCTGGCGGAAATTTTAAAATGCGTGGATGCGCGGCGACAATAGTAGGCAGTTTTAAGTATAACAGTTGCAGCCCTGTTTCTTCAGTATCCCTATCAGGGGCGTAAATTAAATATTTAAAAGCAAGGATCAATTTGCAAAATTAAATTTAAAAATTAACTTATTCGGTAGGTTTTCTTGAATATATTTAAAGTCATCATTAACGTGTTGTGTCAGATAATGAGCAAGTAATAGACATGTAAACAGAAGAACTAACTGTTGATGTCGGTGATAGTGATAGAAATTCCAATGAGAACAATGAATGTGAAAGCCAACTACATAATAAACAAAAGCATTGGGTTTACTTTTTCTTTTCTCATAAGTTATGTTTCTATATTATTTCCTAGTACGCTACTGTCCTTTCTGTGCAAATACAATAGTTTGCGCCTATTGAAAGCTTATTTGTGAATCGGTTGCTAGTGATTTACCCAAATAGGTCATAAATGGGCAAGTACCTGCGCGGCCGGAGCCAGCTTCGTCCGTCCGACCTATACTTTCCTACCTATACTAAATCGTCTAAAAATCGCAATGATTCAATGGTTTTCATTTAGTTGTGGGCTACTTTTAACAGTTTGTGACGCACTTGTTTCGTTATTTAATACTGTCGTGTAGTATTACGTTATCCCGACTGGATCATACATCTTTGGCAACATACCAATGTTGTAGATCAACTTCAAACATGAAAAATGAAATTTTATCCTTTAGAGATAAAATTGGAAATATTTCTGTTTAATACATTTACAATAAGAAGAACAATGCAATGAATATCCAATAAGCACCGATAAATAAAAAAAAGGTGGTTGAATGAGTTTTCTAAATAAAATATAAGGTGATTTAAACTGAGGTGTTTACAGACAAAGTCAAAGTTAGTGATGGTTTGAGAGAATCGCGATCGTAAAGAGACGATAACATTGTTCGATCACAATTTTATGTCACGTGCCCTTATATTCGAGGTATTTCGATCACGTAACTTGCTTCGGGGTCCCTTTTACGTTTCTCTTCCCCCTTTCGGATACTGTGCTAGGAAAGTTGTCGTCTATATGGAAGTGTCAGTGATTTGGTACGAACTCTCGTCATGATTGCTAAATGTATGCGTGGAAATTGACGTCAAACCGAATCAATGCT